AAATGAGCTGTTGTAATTGGAATGTTCTAGCCACAGTTCTCTTACTAAAGGATGGAGAATTAGGAGTGGCAAGAGCGGCTGTTAAACATAAATGCGCTAGTTGGATATGGGTTAGTTCACCCAAAATACAAAATCCCATTAATATTTATTACTTATCTGGAACACAATAGTGATTTTTAAAAAATAAATATTCTGCCCACTCTTTTTAATATAATGAATGAGGACAGCTCCAAAATGATTTTAAAAAGCAACATAAAAGTATTAGAAAAGTGGTCTGTGCTACTCATGTGCTTTACTGCATGTCTTACAATGCATATTATAGCTTTTTGTGAGGAACAAAACCAAAATTGAAATGTTACTGACTACTTTTATGATACCTTTTCACATACCTTTTATGGTGTCTTTGCGTCCTTTTTGATGTTTGAAAGTTTAAGTCCCGATTCATTGTAATTGAAACGAGGGCCAGTACATTTTTCAAAATTTCTTCTTTTGCAAGGAAGTCATATGAGTTTATGACAACATGAGAGAGTTAATAACACGATTTTCATTTTTGATAAACTTTCTCTTTAATCAGATTGGATCATGAATGTTGATTTAGCTGATTTATCCTTCCCTTTCAAGATCAGTACATTCTCCATAAGATAACATCTCAAGATCTTTTTTTTTTTTTTTTTTTTTTTTAAGATTTGCTGTTAAATAAATGCCTCATATTCATGTGAGTGAACAGCTGATCAAAATACACCCTAGAGGTTCCCAAAATAAAATAATTTCCTTCCATCTCTTCTCACCCCAACAAAGAGTCCTTTGGCTTTTTCAGGGATCATAAATTATCATTAGGTAACAAGCATTAGAATGTTCTTGACTTTTTTTTCTTTTTTTTTCAAACAGCTTTATAAATGTGGACTTTGTTCTGATGGCAGACACAGACCTTTTTTTTCCTCTTGCATCTTTTATTGGAGCAATAAATTGCTGTTATCGTGAGCAGGGAACGCCTTCATTCAGCTAGTTGAACATGTCATACAGGTTCACCAGCTTGAAAAACACAGGTTGCTGACTAGCATAATCACTCTTCAACCTCTCAGCTGTTGAACTCTATAGCTTATGTCATAAATCTTGCATCATGGCTGTCACAGCTAAAAATGTATTTGTATTTTGAAAGTGTATTGTTAGTACTGTAAGTAACCGTGTGACCAGTGTCGCTAAAGTTCATTGGAAATTGGTAGGATTGTTAGATTGTTGTGGTTTGCTACTGCTGTGATGTCATGTGAGTTACAGGTTGTCCCGCCCTTGTGCCAGTAAACACGTCATCAGAGAGGTGTCATTGCAAGTGGGAGGGGAAGTAATTTTTAATTTAAAAATGAATTTAAAAAAAAATAATGATGTGCAAGGACAAATCATTTATAATAAATACTGCAATATTCCATTCAAAAATAAGAATTGTTAATTTTGATTTCGTGGTGACTTTAAATACTCTGGGCGTTCAAAATACTAAAATGAACGGTCTAGGCCTGAGCTACTGTACTATTGTATTACCTATATCTCCAGGAAAATGGCGCATATGTAGATGAGGGCCAAATTATGTTAACATGTTAATATCAAAACATTAAATTGTGTCATGTGATAATGAGAGTAAAAATACGACTGTGGCAATGAGTTTTGTAAAACGGTAATGTAAGCCACATACAGTATCTCACAAAAGTTAGTACACCCCTCATATTTCAGCAAACATTTTAGTATATCTTCTCAAGGGACAATACTATAGAAATGGAACTTGGATATATTTTAGAGTAGTCAATGTGCTGCTTGTATAGCAGTATATATTTACTGTCCTCTGAAAATAACTCAACATACAGCCATTATTGTCAAAATAGCTGGCAACAAAAGTGAGTACACCCTTAGTGAACATGTCAAAACAGTGTCCAAAGTGTCAATATTTTGTGTGAGCACCATTGTTAACTAGCACTGCTTTAATCCTCCTGGCCATGGAATTCACCAGAGCTGCACAGGTTGTTGCTGGGATCCTCTTCCACTCCTCCATAATGACATCACGGAGCTGCTGGATGTTAGACACATGGTGCTTCTCCACCTTCCGCTTGAGGATGCCCCACAGTTGCTCGATAGCTTCAGGTCTGGAGACATACTTGGCCACTCCATCACCTTCACCTTCTGCTTCCTCAGCAAGGTAGTTGTCATCTTGGCGGTGTGTTTGGGGTCGTTATCATGCCGTTCGGCCCAGTTTCTGAAGGGAGGGCATCATGTTCTGCTTCAGAATGTCACAGTACATACTGGAATCTATGTTTCCCTCAATGAAGCTCAGCTCCCCAGTACCAGCAGCACTCATGCAGCCCCAGACCATGATGCTACCACCACCATGCTTGACTGTAGGCAAGACACAATTTTCTTGGTACTGCTGCACCAGGGCGTCGCCATACATGCTGGACACCATTTAAGCCAAACAAGTTTATCTTAGGGTGCTTTCACACCTGGATCGATTGGAGACGTTGTTCCGAAACAAAGGGGCGTTTCCCTTTTGGCCCGGTTCGTTTGGTCATATGTGAACACAACAATCGCACTCTGAATCGGAACAAAACAACCGAGCCGAGACCGCCTAGAAGAGGTGGTCTCGTCTCGATTCCACACGAACCCTGGAGCGGTTCGTTTGTAGTTAGAACACAACCGACCCACGAACCGGAACAAATCAACTTTTGGCAAGGTGGTCTCGTACCTTTATGTACTGCTGTCGGAGTTTTTTCGCCTTTGCGCGGCACTGCTCGAAGGACCGTTCATAACCCCTCTCTTTCATTTTATAGCTGATCTTCTTGTACACTTCGGTGTTCTTGTGTGTAGTGTCCAATATCCGGGAGATGTGTTCTTCCAACAAATATCTATGAGGCATTTCACCTCTTCGTAGCACCAAGTCAACCCGCGATTCATTTTGTGTTAGGCTATTGTTGTCATGGCGATGTCCCACAATGGAATGCGCGACCTGCACGCATGAGGTAGTGACGTAATGGCGTAAGGAAAGCCCTGGAAGGGTGCGCGATTTGGACTGCTTTACAACAGTGTGGTGTGAACAGAGTTACTATTAAATTGATTCGGAACAAAGTATTCTGTTTTGGATCTGTTCCGGAACAAAACAAATCGATCTAGGTGTGAAAGCACCCTTAGTCTCATCAGACCACAGGACATGGTTTCAGTAATTCATGCTCTTGGACAGGTTGCTTTCAGCAAACTGTTTGCAGGCTTTCTTGTGAGCCAGCTTCAGAAGAGGCTTCATTCTGGGACGACGGCCATGCAAACCGACTTGTTTCAGTGTGTGGCGTATGGTCTGAGCACTGACAAGCTGACCTTCCGCTTCTGCAACATCTAAAGCAATGCTGGCAGGACTCATGCGTCTAAGTCAGCTTCTGCACCTGATGCACAGCATGAGGACTCAACTTCTTTGATTGACCCTTGCGAGGCCTGTTCCAAGTGGAACCCGTCTTGGAAAACCTCTGTATGACCCTGGCCTGTACTGTAACTCAGTTTCAGGGTGTGACCAATCTTCTTATAGCCTAGGTCAACTTTGTGGTGAGCAACAATTATATTTCTCGAATCCTTAGAGAGTTCTTTGCCATGAGGTGCCATGTTGAACATCCAGTGGTCAGTATGAGAGAATTGTACTCAAAGCACAAATTTGAACAGCTCTAATGCAAGATAAACCAATTTGTATGGTCCTGTCAAGCAGACAAAAACATGAACATGATGAATAGGACATGTGGCTTTGCATGGTTAAACGACGTACAGCTATTATCACTTAGGGTGTATTCACTTTTGTTGCCAGCTATTTTGATAATAATGGCTGTATGTTGAGTTATTTTCAGAGGACAGTAAATATATACCGCTATACAAGCAGCACATTGACTACTCTAAAATATATCTAAGTTTTATTTCTATAGTATTGTCCCTTCAGTAGATATACTAAAATGTTTGCTAAATTGTGAGGGTTGTACTCACTTTTGTGACATACTGTACATTGAGTCATTATAACTGGAACAGGAATTGTTCTTTTTGTTATGGAATAACAAAAGCAAGACAAACGGAGTAAAATTTTGGCTAGTTAGCATGGGCCTATTTGCAACTGCTGATAAATGCCTTTATTGTGCACTCTGGACACACAAAAAAAGCATATTTCTCCATTCACATATCCATTTAAAATCTTTGTATCTATTTTTTTTAAGTAATGTATTAAAAATAGTAATGATGATGAAGATGATTATTATTGTTGTAGTTTATATCTTAATTCCCTGCATATATACATAATAATGTAATATATCATATCAATAAACTACTATTTCACTATATTGTAGTACATGTTTATCCAGTGCCATATTTAGGCGGGCTCTTAAGGGGCCCTCCAATTCTGATAACTAATGGCTTGAGTATTATATAATCTTTTGGTCCAAACATCAGCAAGAAATACACTAACTCACTTTACATGCAACAAAGGGATGTCAGGAATCTTAAGTTCAAAATGCCATAGATATTTTACATCAATGAATGTGGTATTTTTATTGTGATCCTATTTGGTTTTAACCTTAGGTGACAGTGCTCATAAATAACCAGTCAAGGACAAGATTGTGACATAAAAGTGGAACAAACACAGTACATATACTGTATCTTATTTTTCTTCTGCTTATTTTGCTTGTTGCACTTATAAAATAAAATAATATTGTCAATTTAGAGTGGAGCTAGTGTTAGTAGGGTTCTTTGCTGTTGTTTTTCTGGTCTTTATATCTGCTGTCAACCATTCCTACGTCGCGGTGTTTGTCAGTGTGTTTGAGTGAATGTGTTTTCAGTGTGTATCCTTTTGTATAGAGCTGCTGGGAGCCGGCCTGATGGGATTGTGCTCTCACCTTCTAGCTCATTCACTAGGGCACACAGAAACCCAAAACACTGTTCTTTTATTGTTCTTTTCCCAGACTGTGAGTGATTAACCAAACACCTCTTCTCCCCTACAGACGCCAGGAGAGCAGCAGGAGGCTCAAAAATGTAAGTGCTAATGCTGAATTATTTGGGTTGATGTGAAATCATGTTTATCCCCTAATTTGCTCAATTGAAATATGCTGTGAGCTTTCGGAATCTTTGCTCCATTCCTGTGGTGTCAAATAAAATGCTCACTTAACGGCTCCCACATTGCGGTTTGTGTTTGTCTGTTTATCTCTTAAAGTATCACAGTAGCAGTATGTCATAGTAACATTTCAAGACGCTTCATCTAAAACTCAAGTACACTGATCAAGACATCCCTGACCTCTATAGAGAACAAATGCAGTGGCCCAAAGAGTATCTGGACACAAGTGTGAATGTCTGAACAAAATATCTAAGCAGGCCTTACTATTGTAACAAATTAAACAAAAATAAGTTAGTTTTCAAGTTATAAAACAATAGATAAAGTACACTCCCGTTCAAAAGTTTGAGGTCAGTATACATTTTTGTATGATTTTGAAAGAAGTTTATTATGCTCACCAAGCCTGTGTTTACTTGATACAGTAAAATATTTATATTGTAAAATATTATTACAATTTAAAATAACCTTGTTCTATTGTACTGTTTTGAAATGTAATTTACTCCTGTGTTGTCAAAGTTGAATTTTCAGCATCATTACTCCAGTCTTCAGTGTAACATGATCCTTCTAAAATCTTTCTAATATGCTGATTTGCTGCACAAGAAAAATTTCTTATTGTTATCAATGTTGAGAACAGTTGTGCTGCTTAATATTTTTGTGGAAACCATGATAAAAAAACATTCTGGATTCGAATCTAAAGATAAAAAGAACAAAATCTGTAAAATTCTTTACTGTCACTTTTGATCATTTTAATGCATCCTTGCTGAATATGAGTATTATTTAAAACAAATCTTACTGATCCAAACTTTTGAATGGTAGTGTATGTTCTTTACAATTAGGACAAACATAAATCAATAAATAATTTTTATGTTTGTCCTAATTGTAAAGAATATATAAACAGTGAACTGATTTTATATATAAACACTAAAATGACCACTTGAGTAATTAGGAAACTTCTCAAAAAGGGTATTAAAAAAAAAGTTCAATACTTTTTAGAGCCAGTATATAATATCAATTGTACAATGTGATTTATCTAGTTCCTGTTGATATCTCGGCATGCATGGTTTATTGACATATACAATTTTATTGCAATAAGTACTAATACAATTGTGTTGATTTGTCTCACAGGTTCTGATCACCATATATTGGCTGGGCAGAAAGGCACATGCTGATCCTTTTTACAATGGACCTTACCTAAAACTAAAGGCTTTTGAGGAATTACTTGGCACAGCACTATATAAGGTAAGATTATGCAGTATTTGACTGTAGTATTTACGCTTAGATGTTACTGTATATAGAAGAATCCACAGTATTCACACACTCCTATGTAGACTAGCTGACCATGTACAGTAAATTTCATTTTACATTCATTCTGGAATTTAAAATATCTTGCTAAGAATGCAGTATACTAGTCTCATGGTATGGAACACAGTCAGCCAATTGCAATTAATTCACCTGATTGCATTGATACTGTTGACCATTACATATTGTAAAAAAAAAAAAAAGATTTTGGAGGGAATTATGCTTATTCTATCATTTTAAGTGACATAAAAAAAATGTTTTGCCATTTAAGTTTACAACATTTCAGTTATTGTAGTATTGCTATTGTAAAAAAAACACAGTTTGAACACTTCAGTGTACCCGATTGGCTTCAATGGTATGACTTTCAATGGAAGAGACGGCAGATTCTCACGAGCAAGACTGTTTATGCACTGAAAGAGGCTGTGTGCTGTGTTTGTTGTTTGTGTTTTTCCCTTGTGCATGCTGTGTGTCGGCCTGTCTCCCTCACACTCACACCCTTGTGCTCGACAGGCACTAGAGGATTGCACATCACTGCGGGGCAGTGCACGAAACGGCACTTGTAGAGATAGCTGTTACTCAGAGAAAGAAGAGCTCTTCCCGCTACGGGCCGGACACAGGAGAGAAGACTCTCTAGACAGCCTCGACTCGCTGGGCTCCAGAACTTACAGCACATCCTCAGACGCTACACTCAAAGGAAGCAGCGAGGGTAAGACTCTTCAATCTCTGAAGTCACTCTTGTGCATTCTAGCTTGACTTTGAGAGTCAGAGATGAGTAGTTGTACAAAAGGTGGAGGTGGATATCTCATTTTGTGTCTTTTTAAACAAAACACTAGTTTCCACCAGTGCAAGAAAAATATGCAGTCAAGTTTAAAAACCTGACCACAGATAGAAATGTAGTGAATTAATTAAAGGATTAGTTCACTCCAGAATTAAAATGTCCTGATAATTTACTCACCCCCATGTCATCCAAGATGTTCATGTCTGTCTTTCTTTAGTCGAAAAGAAATTATGTTTTTTGAGGAAAACATTCCAGGATTTTTCTCCATATAGTGGACTTCAATAGGTTACAATGTTTTGAAGGTCCAAATTGCAGTTTCAATGCAGCTTCAAAGGGCTCTACACAATCCCAGCCGAGAAATAAGAATCTTATCTAGTGAAAAAATCGGTCTTAAAAAAAAAAAAAAGTATACACTTTTTAACCACAAATCTTGCACGTCCACGACTTCACACATTACGTAATCACGTTGGAAAGGTCACGCGTGACGTAGGGGGTAGTACCGACCCAGTGTTTACAAAGCGAATGTGCAAAGACTTTTCACCCTTTACAAAAAAAAGCTAAAACAATGAGGTCAGACGATTTTGAAGTTGGAGGAGAAAATGAGATGGAGTTTTTCGCTCTTCCCAACCTTTTTGAACCGTGACCTTTCCAACGTAATGTGTGGCGCATCGCAGAGCTAGTGCAAGACGAGCATTTGTGGATTAAAAAGTATATACATTTTAATTAATTTTAGAAAATGACAGATCGTTTCGCTAGATAAGACCCTTATTCCTCGGCTGATCGTGTAGAGCCCTTTGAAGCTGCATTGAAACTGACTGCAATTTGGACCTTCAACCCATTTGTCCCTGTTGAAGTCCACTATATGGAGGAAAATCCTGGAATGTTTTCCTCAAAAACCTTCATTTCTTTTCGACTGAAGAAAGAAAGACATGAACATCTTGGATGACATGGGGGTGAGTAAATTATCAGGACATTTTAATTCTGGAGTGAACTCTTGCTTGTCAAAACAAATGCCTGGTGCCCTCTAGTGGTATTCAAACTATATACCTTTTAATGCTTTAATGAGCTATATTTTGTTGTCTGTGACGGTCAGCAGATACTGTTTTGATGGAAAGTGCAAACTCCCATCAATTCATCCTCTTCTACATGTTTGCGTTTCAATGACATTAGCATCTTTTTACTCAGTCATGGTCCCAGGGGCTCAATTGCAGCTCATGAGGAAGGTGCTGATGTAATTAGCTGCTGATATAATTAGTGTGCTGGACTGTCTACACGTTCACCCCAGTGAGACATTTTTTCTTATTCCCCACTGACCTGCCAATGAGTCAGACGCATCCCACTATCATGTTTACTACAGAGAAGTGTGATAAAAAAGCTGTCTTCTTTCCGTGTAAAATATTTACAACAATACAAATTGTGTAAATTATATTAGGATGATAAAGACATTTTCAGAGAATTCCATTCAAAAGATTGGGGTCGGTCAGATTTTTTAATGCTTTTGAAAGAAGTCTCTAATGCTCACAGAGCCTGCATTTATTTGATCAAAAATACTGTAAAAACAATTTAAAATAACCGTTTTCTATTTTTTAATAAATATAAAATGCAATTTGTTCCTGTGATGGCAAAGTTGAATTTTCAGCATCATTACTGTCTTCAGTGTTACATGATCCTTCGGAAATCATTCTAATATGCTGATTTTCTGCACAAGAAACATTTATATCACAATTGTGCTGCTTAATATTTTTTTATTTGAAATATAATTTTTTTCTAAGTTAAAATTCTTTACTGACACCTTTGATCAATTCAATGCAGGTTTGTTGAATAAAAGTATTCTTTTTTTTTTTTCTCTTACTGCCACCAAACTTTTGAACAGTATTATATTATAAGGATTACATGTATTTTCTTAACCATCAGCAAAGAGTTTTTTTCTTGCTTAAAATGTTGTGAGATTTGTGTGTTAAATAAGAAAAATCTAAATTCTAGTGAAGAAAATAAATTTTTGCACTGCATATTATGTGTGGATCAAATTTTGTCTCCTAGAATAGTAAAGTGTGAATTCACCTATGGGGACCATCCAGCAGTCCCTGTTAGAAAAAATGAAAAAAAAAAAATGAAAAAAGATTATTCTGTTACATTCTATAAGGTTTAGGGTTATGGGTTAGAAAACATCATTAGCTCAGTAAAAAAAAAACAATAAAAGTGAATGGAAAGTCCCCACCAGGAAAGAAAAACAATCATGTGTGCATGTGCGTGTTCATACGCTCACACTCCTGGCTCTCTGTGCTGTTTCTCCAGGTTGTGGTAGTGACCCCGAAGCAGATCTGAGCTTCATGATGTCAGAAAATAAGGAATACCGCCGTTCGATGGTCTTAACACCTAAGACCACCACTCCGTTCAATCAGTTCCTGCCATCAAAGGAAAAGCAGTCGGGCTATGTTCCAGCACCATTACGCAAGAAACGTGCAGAGCGAAATGAAGACAACAGAAGAAGCTGGGCTAGCCCTATGTTCACAGAAGATGACGGCACTTTTACTAGGTAATGCAAGTCTACACTCTAAAGATTCAATGGGGGTTTTCATTGGATGGTATATTCACCTACTCTGGTGAAAGGTGACCATCTGATCATTGATTTATGATGTAATACAGACCATTATTGCCGAAGAAAAATGTTTTTTTTCTTTCTTTGAGGAAAACACCCACAGAATAGAAAAGTCACAAATGAGGTCTCAGTAGTTTCTCCTAGGCAGCAATAAAATTAAAAAGAGCTTTTCAGATTTTTCTCCAGACAAAAGACCCTAGTGATCTTAAATCTATCTCTTCTAGAGTTTCAAAAAATATCACATTGTGCTCTGATACCTGCCATCAAAAGATCTCAATGTGAACTTGTCTCAAAACAATTCTCAAAATTTATCTTGATCATTTGCTTTGCTTCCTAGAAATGTTTATCATTATATTCCTCCTTTGTTGGGTGAGATGTTAGCTATGAAACATTCTCGATGTTTGAATGCCGGTGCTTATTATTCCCACTATTTCTTGGCATTTTGTGCTTTCGTGACCATCATTGGTGGTGTGTCCCAGTCATGAGAGGGCTGGTTCAGACCCTTCATCTATCACTGAGTTGAAATCCCAGACAACTGCCCACCAGTCTTTGGCCTATGAGTATGAGAGCAGTGATTCAGATACAGATCGACCGGATCCCGACATGGTTCTAGATGACCTCGCTAGCCGTAGATTTCACAGCCCGTCCCCTGTCGCTCCGACCAACTTTGCCTTACCCATGAGCCCGCTGGAGGGAGCTGCTGTCTCGTGTACCACCAGGCCACAGGTGGCTGTCAGTAATGTGCCCCGGCATTCATTGACCCATCTCAGGTCAGAAACTGGCTTCTTTGACACGCATCTGTTTGCTATTTTATCAGTGTTAACTTTGGGTCTTCTCCAGAAATCTTCGAAGTTTGGTTTTGAGTTGCTGTGATGTCATTATTTCGCTTGATTTTCAACCCATAGCGTGGACTTTTTGAAACAACATTTTGTTTTCAATGTTTGATTTTCATTTGGTTTGGTGTGCTTGATAACCATGGATGGTTTGATGTGCATTGATCATTGGTGGTATGTAACAAAAATGGCTGTCTTTTGAGCAGCGGTCAGTCACAGCCTCTTCAGAGGACTTACAGGAAGCCTGTATCAGCTGACGCCTGCATTTACGATGACTCTGAAGAAGACGATGAGGAGTTTGGCTATGCTGATCCTGTTCAAGATGACCTTTATGCCCGTAAAGTAGGCCTGATGCCACAAACATCTGCCACAGTGCCTTTTGATAAATTTCTGCCTAAGTTCTGGACTCCTGAGGAGGATGCACATGTGAAGAAGATCAAACTGGGCTCCCAGCACCGCCCTTGGTACAGGAAGATCCAAGGTTTCAGGTCTGTCCAGTGCTGAGGCAAAAAAAAAAAAAAAAACTTAAATTAAGAAAAGAACATAAATAATTCTAATAAATAAAAATAACCCTATACCGAATTTTTCAAGACATGCTTGATATTCCAAAAAAATATTTAAATAAATCAGCTGCCCCATATTTATTATAATTGGCAACTGTCGATTAAAGTAATTTGGAAATTGAAATTAAAAGAAAAATACACTTACTGTATTATTTTTTATGCAATCTGACTAAGAACCTGTTTTCAATTCTAAGCCCTATTGATCAGTCCATCAGGTGTTTTTCAGATAATAATTTCTAATTTTCTGACATGTTTGGCTACCCAGTGGCTCCAGTAAAGTACATAACAATATATTATACAAACAAATGGTCTTATACCTGTTAGATGGACGTTTCATAAAATTTGACAACCAGGACAGATGTCCAAATTTTGTATTGTTTTTTATCTTGATTTTTAGCGATATATATATATATTATATATATACTTTCATATAATTTTAAGGGTTGCTTAAATGTACAAATTTATTGGATGCCACTGTAAAGCCTGAGGTTTCTTTTTTGCTTATTTACTTGCTAAGGCTTCTCTGTTACCTCCCTCTGTTTTCTCTCTGGTGATGGTTACTAACTTTTCTCCATTTTCTTTCTCTGTGCTCTTTCACCTCACATTTTCCAGTCACAAGAAGTCAGGTTCGTCCTCTGAAGAATCAGATGGTGACGCCAATCCCTGGCTCTCTCTACCTGCTTTCTCTCGCACTCAATCTGAACCCCCTCCCTCTCACTTCCATGCACCTGAAGGCCTCGCTCAGTCCAGCCTCACTTCCACACCCAGGTCCTTATCACAGCCCCATGTGCAGTAGGACCGGACATCCACTCACTTCCCTTGATCAGCTTCTCTACATATTCTAATAAATCTATCAACTGATGCGTACTAATAGAATTTTTTTTCTCATAATCATCTTTGTGAATGTTAATGATCTCAACAGACAAGTGCACATAAGTGATTGAAATGGTGAGAAGGTCCAAATGACTCATGCCTAACATTACAAGTTTTCTGAAGCTATATATGATTTGTGCGAGGAGACAAAGCCATCCAATAAGCTGTTCATTTGAGTCAGTGAGTTGAATTCGAAAACCGGTTAATTGAACAAGTCATTCTCTTGAGTCTGATCTTTTCAATGAATACAGCTGATGATTCAGAAATCTATCTGATCAATTCCTTTACAAACACACTGATTTCATGTGACTCAATTAGTGCTCTTTGAGCTCTTGAATTATGTGCCACAACTGACTTAAGGGTAATATCATCAGTGAATAATTACATTTTGGTCTGTTCCTCAAACAAAGCTATCATATCTTCAGAAAATGTGGAATATTGCAAACCAGTTGTATGGACCATTTTACAGATTTGTTGGTGCATTTTTAGAGCTTCAAGGCCCGCTCACACCAAGAACGATAACTACAGAGAAAAAAATAACTATATTAGAGCCCACACCAATGCACCGCAACGTCCTGTTTATTATAAGCTTGCGCTGCAGTTATGTCGTCTGCCGCTTTAAATCCTCAAGCTCTTTAAAACAAGATACATTCTGATTACTGTCAATGTTTTCATTATTCATCAGCTGGGAAAAAATCTATCTGAAAGTGATTCCAACGATATCATTCCTCTGTGTGGTTATAGTTGTGGTGTGTATCAAAATTCTTAAAACTACTTTTATCAAATCTAAATTTGAAGTAACATTTAGTATTTTGAGGCAGAACTCTCACACTCTGTTTTTCCAAAGTTTAGAGCAAAATGAGTCCACACAATGCTGCTGTTATTTATATATTGCATGGTTAGTTGCATCCTTCTGCATACACTACTCGTGCTAACTGGTCTTAACTGATTTCTACTCTTTTTACTGTCCCCTTGCATGTTCTGAATCCTTTCTTTACTCTTTTCTCCTTTGATTCACCCACAGTTCTCAGACACAACACCTCACGGTTGCTCACCAGAGTGCTGGGCTCTCTAAGTCAAAGCCCCCTGATTTTTGGCCCAGACCAGATCCCACCTCTGGCCCCAGACTCATAAAATGCGAAAAGCACCCCCTCCTTGGGCGTGAACACCCTAACGACCCATACAACGTTTCTGCCGACATCCTGCCTGATTTGGAAAATGACGATATGTTTACACGTCGTACAAAAACCTTCCACTCGAGTGATGATCTGGCCAAGTTGAAGTACGGTAACTTCCTGGTGCCTCGCCACAGATCGGAGGCCGAAGTCACGGTGGTAATTCAGCCCCGCCATGAGGGTGAACCCATTTATCCTGACATTGAAAAAGACGATGTGGTTTTTCGAAGGGCTCAACAGCAAATCAGTCATTACCCTCTGTCTGGGGCCCCTGATAACTATTACCCTGTTCCTATTCCAGAGACATGGGCTTTGCCACCAAAACTGCAGGCCAAGCTAATGTTTGGCCCAGTTGAACCCAGACAGAACAAACCCAAGTCAGAGATTAAACAAGGAGCAGAGCAGCACATGAAAACAGATGATATGCTACTTAGGAAGCTAAAAGCTTTAAATACCCAAGGGATGGAGGGAAAGGGATCTCCCAGTGTTTCTTTGTCTTGCAATGAAGAAGATATGCAGAAATGGCAAGCCATCAGAGAGGCCAGCCGTGTGCGATACAGGAAGAGGCTGATGGTTGAGAGGTTAGGTTTCTGAGCCTGCAGAAATACCTGTGTGCGCTTGTCATCATGATCTCATCTGCAGTGTACTTTTCTCATTCTCGTGTTAACTATGATCTTACACTGGCCATGGCAAATGTCTTTGATTGCATGAGAATGATTGTAACAGGTAGATATTTGGTTTTCTTAGTGTTTTTCTCTTAAATAATTTTGGACCGGCTTCAAATTTTGCACTAATTTTTGATAAGTTTGTGCATGAAGTGATGAGGTCAAAATGGTTTTCAGCATTGAAATTTGTTGTTTTATCTTATCTTATTTTCTTGAATGTGCAAGGCTTTCATTGTCAGCCGCTTCCAATTATTTTAGCTGTACAAAAACAGTCAGTTATGCTGCTTGATATTACAAACTGGTATTTATCATATTATTTTAATTTATTGTCATAATCATAAACACACTGGTTTGTAGCACATATAGTATTACAGTTTAATGCACTTTCTTGTTATTCTTCTAGTTATTTACCTATAGTGGCTAATGAGTCAAAAGTCTATTTTCTTAGGTTTACTTTACTGAATTATATAAAATTAAAAGCATTTTTATTGATTAGCTGGAACACCAAAGAATGTGACATTACAGATACACTTTGTTTGACTTTGGAGAGACTGACCAATTGTCTGTGAAATGCATTTTGCTTGTGTTTTAATAAAAGACTGAAAGTTTTGGTCATGAAAGCATTTAAGAAACTGATACATCAAGTACAGACTCAACTGCTTTGACTTTCGTTTAAGTCCCAAAGTCCTAACAGACTTTATAAGGTGCGAGTGTATCCAGCTAAGCTGTGGTGGAATTTTAAAACCTGAGCAATGTCTAAAAATAATCCAGTCAGACACATTCACTCTTTACGAAATAACTTACAATGCACTCTAGCTCCAAATTCCCCACACCCTTGTGATCCTGTGAAAGCTGGAACTTACACTTATGTGACCATGGAAACACACCTAGCACTTGAACCCCAAGTACAACATTGCATTTGATCAGAGTCCATGTAATGTCGGGGCATTAAAATGAGCAAACGTACTGGGATTGGTGGGGCATTCTACAAGTTTCCAATGATGTCATTCTACCTTAACCTGAACCTAAACTAAGTTACAACTGACAGTTAATATTACGTTTGCACATTTTAAATGTCAGACAGCCAGGTCTGTAATCAGCTAATTAACTGAATGCTAAAGCTTGACTTTGTACTGTAAAAAAATAAATAATCATTATGCACTTGATCATAGCTGGAGTGGTGTGGCTAAGCTATTGACATGTACAATACCGTTCGAAAAGTTTGGGGTCAGTACCGTGATTTTTTTTTTTGATTTTTTTTTATTTAAAAAAAAAAAAAAAAAAATTCAGCAAGTGTGCATTAAAGACATTTATAATGTTACAAACGTTTTCTATTTCAAATAAATGCTGATCTTTTGTTCTTTCTATTCATCGAAGAATCCTGAAAAATATATTAGTTTCCACAATAATATGAAGCAGCACAACTGTTTTCAACATTGATAATAATAAGAAATGTTTCTTGATCATCAAATCAGCATGTTAGAAAGATTTCTGAAGGATCATGTGACACTGAAGATGGCTGCTGAAAATTCAGCTTTGCCATCGCAGGAATAAATTATATTTGTATATATATTAACATAAATATCAACATAATTTATTTTAAATTATAATAATATTTCACAATATTACTGTTTTGCTGTATTTTTTAATCACGTAAATGCAGCCTTAGTCAGCATAAAAGACTTCTGTCAAAAAAAATCTTACCGACCCAAAACCTTTGAACAACAGTGAATGTTACTTTATTGGCCATTCGATACAAACTGTCAATCAACACACCAAAATATGACTATTTTGTTGCTGTGGTTCTCTTTGGTTTCTAGACTGTTCCAGAAATGCTCTGATAGTAAAGGGTGAGTTGTGGCCTTGTGCAGTAACAGCATGTTTTTGTGTGTGTTCACGGCTGCTGCGTAGGCCTCTGCCCTCCCCTATATTAAGCACTGACACTCACAATGTACTCAATGCTATGATCCCCATGGGCTGCTGTAAAAACTTTTCACTGCAAAAAAATGTGTCGACTACAGATATGCACACTGCTGGCTAATTTAATCTGTTCAAACGTGTCCTTCTGGAAAGATCAAGAGCATGAGAAGCACAGATGTACTTCTGCAATGCAGACGTACTGTGCTCTCACAGATAAGTCACATGAGTGGAAGTGATTGAATGAGCAACTCATGGAAAATTATTAACCAATTGAGACTTGCCACATAACATAATTCGTTAGTTGTCCATTATGATAACTAATTGTGGCTTGAATAATATTCAGGACATGCTGTTTTACTAACCCTTCAATACTTTGTCTTGTAAACTTCTGTTATTTTTGCTTGCTTGATGTGAGCTGTAACACTTTTATTCATATCAAAATGCTGAATGGCTAAACTCCATTAAATCTTTTTTCCATCCTAATGCATGATTTTTTTTTTTCTTAAGGAATTAATTGGACTACTAACGTTTTTTGAAAAACATGTTTACAGGAGCAAATCAGTGAGTGACATCACTGAGAGTGAGACGAACCTCAGCACCTCGGCGGTGGAGTTGCGCTTCGAAGAGCTGCAGAAGATGCGTACTCGGATTAAGGAGAATGAAGATAAGTGGCAAGATGTGAGTATCGGATCACATGGTTTTGTTATTGATAATATTCATAGCTGCAGATGTTCGGCCTGTGATTCAATGAAAGTTGAGACTAGTAAGATGTCCTCATAAGGACCTTGACTACTTCGAGTCACATCAATAATAAGTAGTCTGTAACTGTTCAGTGATACTTCGTAGTGTGAATGTGGTTGGACTGAGCTTCAATACAGCATCTAGGTCATATACGGGCCTCTAATTCACACGGGAAAAGAAGTCGGGTGGAGCCAAACAGGCAAAATAGGACACCGGCAAAATCTAGTCCTCCCTCACTCCTCAATCTGTCCTCGTATCTCTCCACCCTTCCCCTGCACTGTCCCTCCTACCGTTACTGCTTATGAATAAGCACCTGTGCTCCAGTTATGGAGGCTGAGCGTCTTTCTCCTCATCCCTGCAGGATCTTTCAAGGTGGAAGAATAAGCGCAGGAGTGTGAATTCTGACATTGTGAAAAAGAAAGAAGAGCGAGAACAGATCGAGCAGATCACTTCAAGCGACACCAGGAAATCAAAGACCTTGAAGGAAATGCATGATGAGAGGTGAACATCCATTCCTTCAAATCAAGCTGTAGTTGTGTGTCTCTAAAGCTTAAACAGTACAAAACTGTATATTTAATTCAATATTTAATTTAAATTATTAATTTAGTTTTATTTTATTTTCCTAATTGTAATTTATTTTTGTTATTGTGTGTGGTGTACTATGATGAAATGTTGCTGTCACTGTTTGTTTTTTGTCATTTCTGTTGTCTGTTGTAAGTGCGGAGAGTGTAGTGTGTTCTACTTTCTCTGATCCGCTGTCTGCTCATTGTAAAAGTGTAATCTAATCGCGGTTCTTGTCCTGCCTCCCTCCTGCTCCTTTTCAGAGAGAGCCGTGAGCAAAGCAACTACAGGGACAGCTTTAACTCCATTGATGATGTATTTGAAGAACCTGTACCCCGAAGCAGAACTCTGCCAGCACGTAGCTACACCATTGACACCCCTTACGCCCCCACGGAAAAACCTTCACTACCCTCCATACCATCTATGAGAGAAAAGGAACCTGTGGCTGGCACCCTGGCATCACATCAGCCCGATTTTCCTAGCAAACCTGATCGCTCTAGCCCAGATATCCCACTTACAATGAATAACAGCATTCAGGAGAGCAAAACAACAACCCAAAACCTTCTGGATGATCCAGTTCCTGCTTTCTCCTACAGCAACACCAGCCTGATTAAGCCCACCAGCATGATCAAGCCCATCGGCGTCAGTAAACCCAGCAGCGTTCTCAACAGCTCAGACTCGATTAGCAAAACTAAGCCAGTTGAAAACTACAGCAGCACCATTAGCTCATTGTATAAGCCCAATTCAATGGATACAAAGCAGTCTGGGCTGGATCAAGTTTCTGCCTCCCTCCCCAGGAGCTACCAGAGATCAGATAGCGCAAGACTCACCTCTGTAGTTACGCCCAGGCCATTCGGCACACAGGCCACCCGAATAACCTCTCTTCCCAGAGCATTCACGGTGAGTTGGCCCTGTTTGGTCTCAAACACCATGATGCCGTTTTTCTTTTTTAATGAATGAAGGTCTTTGAGAACATTATGCTACCTGCCACAGTGTGCGATCGATTTACAATGAAGTTCTGATGTAATTACAGCTCATATGAATTATAAAGAATCTAATTGAGTTACAACACAAGAATAAAACTGTAATGTGGAAGCCAGATTTGGCAAAGCGTACAGTGTCATTAAAGAGTGCAGTGGTTCTGGAAGTAAAAATTATTTTTCAAACCTTTTAGATGGATGACTCACTTAAGCGCACCAATGGAGAGACAGACAGCCTCAAGAAACCTACAGTTTTCAACCGCTATGCTCAGTATGTGAAAGAAGATGAGGATATGTCCCAGGAAAGCCCTAAGCAGAGCAGTGACGAAGAGGAGAGAACCCCGTCTCCTGTCCCTCCGATCAACAAGGTGTTGCCCCTGCCTAAATCTTCATTCCCTCTCATCCCTCCAGTTGAGGCAAGACACTCCTGAGCAAATCTCAACTACAAATTACAATAACTTTGCATGTGAAATTTGCTTTTGCTTTAGAAAATGTAGAGACAGACACACAAGCACTTTATATTCAGTAAATCTGACTAAATCCAGAGCATTTAAAAAGTTTATAGTGACATTTTGTGGTCTGGGTTGCCTTCTGTGTAGATTAATGGCAATTTGGATGTCAATGTTCCTACTCCTCAAAGTAATTTAGATTGTATTACAATAAATCTCAATGGCATACTCCCGAAAACCAGAAATCACTTCATGTGAAATCACTTCACTTTCTGTGTATAGCTGACCTGTCTGTGTCTTCCAGGTGGACTACAGTGAGATGAGAATCAGCCTAAACCAGAAACCCAACAGCAGCCGGGACTTTGGCTTTCAGAACAACTGGGACTCCACTGGGGTCCGTGTCAAATCTGTAGTTCCAGGTAAAATAAACTGTTTAAGTCCTCTGAAATAGAAGTGATGTAAAAAGTGATCTCATGTGCTGCCCAGTGAATTAATGAAGCACAAAGTACAGGCTCTACCTCCAGCTTCAGACAACGTCTGCTACTAAAACACATGTACTGTACTGCTACAGTATATAGGGCAGATATTTTTCTAGGTTAAATCTGATGAGCCTCTAGTTGCCCAAGATAGCAATGGAACAAAATGTGCATGAAACAAAATGTATTGTCTGAGATGCTAAAATAAATAATGTTTAGTTATATAAATCACAGTTTGGGCATCATTGTCATTCCTATAATTGTTTTGTGGAGTATTTTACATTTATTTTGTGTATAATGCATGTGTGCAATGCAGGCAGCACAGCGGAGCTCGGTCAGGTTAAGGTTGGAGATGAGATCCTTGCGGTGAACGGGCACCAGGTGGCAGACATGAGCTATAATGAGTGGAAGAGCAGTATGGAGGAGGCATTGCAGCAGGGAAGTCTGCTTATGGACATCCGCAGACATGGCAAGAATAGTAAGTCCCCGCCATCTCATCGAGTGCAGCTCTCACTACAGCAAGCTTTGGTAAAGCTTTCAACAGAAAAAACATCGCCAGACTTCTTATTGTAACCTTTTGCTACATATTGCAGACTAAGATCCTCTGTTCTTGGTTGACCCTGTAGTTAAAGTCTATATATCTACTGTAGTAGCAACACATAGTGTGTATCATCTATGTTCATCTCGTATATGCTTGTCAGTTGTGTGTTTGGCTTTCTTGTTGCTGATATTCTTTTTTCTGCTTTTTTTCCCATTTAAAGGAAAAGTTCACTCAAAAAAATGTAAATGCTATTAATATTTCCAAACCTGTATGCTGCTGTTTTTTGTGTGTGATTTAAAAAAAGACAATTTTATTAAAAATATATATGTATGCTTAAAATATGTATAGTGGACTGTGTCAAGCTCCAAAAAGGACAAAACTACAATAAAGTACCATGAAAAAAGTCCATATGACATTTGTGCACTATATTCCAACTTTTTATTTTGTTTTGTTTTATTTAAGTTAAGATTATTTTATATGGAGCACATATTTTAGTTTTATAAAATAACCGTTTTTCATTTTTGGGTGAACTATTCCTTTGTCTACCTTTCCGTGGTGTGGTTTCTTCAGTATATATGTAGTGTGTTTGTATTTTTCCTAAACAGTGCATTATCTTAGTTTCTAAAGTAAGTGGTTCTTTATATTTTCAGTGGTTCATATTTTCAGTGTTTACTAACAGGCTTATAGTTTGTGACTGAAGGCAGATCAGAGGGCATCTGTAAGCTTGTCGGTAAACCTGATGTCTGTGGAGCTCATTCTGACTGCATGGCAGGGGAAGGTGGTCTGTCTTTCATCCCCACATTTTAGAAGTATTTACCAGACACATTCAGTTTTTAGAATCTGTCTGTAGTCGTACATCTGTTTTCATAGTTTGCTAATTCTCTGTTTTTGAAATGAATGGTTTTGTTGACATGCCACAATCAGACTGGGGCAGAGACCTACCTTCCCTTCCATTTAAAAGCCATAAGACCATCAATCTGACCAGTCTGGATCCTCTAGGTCCCTCTGAGTCATACCTCAGCACCAACCTGGATTTCACATCCCAACAAACCAAGGACAACGTTGTGAAAACCATGAATGTCAGCTCACAGCCAGGCAATGTGAGCAGACTAATTAATTACCTACTATATATGGCACTTTATTTTTTAGTTGGTAATTGAATGTATTTTAAAGCTTCTTTCATAATGTTAAACTGATTACCTTTTTTCCACAGAATTATGGTTCAAATGGAATAAATGGTGGTTTCCGTGAGGATTCAGAGAATATGAATAATAAAGGTAAATTACTATTTCAGCTAATTGCTTGGAAATATTCTGTAAAGGTTTTTTGTTGTATGCTTGTTTTAATAAACGCATGTTTGCAGAAAATTTGCAAATCTTGTTCTGAGGTTGTTTAATAGCTTGACAAGAATGCTTGTTTTTGATTAACTTAAAACAGTGTGATAAAGATTATTCAAAATGAGATCAGCTTTCCAAATGCTATGCACATACTGTGTTTATACAGTGTGTGTGTGTGTATATATATATATATACTGTATAAACACAGTATGTGCATATAATTTAGATAGCTGATCTCATATATGGTACCATTTTTTATTTCTACCAAACTTTTTTTAAAGAAAGCAGTGTGGATTAAGAATGAATTGCTAAATCTACTTCCCCAGGACAAATTCATCTTCTTCTAACATTTTTATCTCCTGTGTAGAATCTGAATCCATTTCTGTGAAAAACTTAAAAAGGAGATCAGAGTTTTTTGAACAAGGTAACAGAACAGCATCAGTGCAGTGCTGATGCGTTCAGGCTATGTGTTTCGGGGGCTGTGGGTAAACCGCTAAGTCTTCATCCTGCCATCCTCCTCTCCTCTCTCTAGCAGGAGCCCCTCATAACCTCTGTGCTCTTCCCTCAGGCTCTGCAGGGCTCACAGTCAGTTCTCTGGTCTACCTCTGTGGTAAAGGGGGGGTTGAGTGTGCAGTGTCAACTTCCATCTTGTGCGCTGCTGACATGCTGTCTACAGGAGCCAGAGTACTCTAAAAAGTAGAGTAAAATTGGCGAGTAAATAGTGCAAAGGAACAAAACAAACTAGTTTATCTAAAAATGGCAACTCTGCCATCATTCATCACTGATAATCTTCCCTCCAATAGGCTGTGAACCACAGACAGATCAGAGTCAGTAAGTTTAACTGGATAATTTTTAAATCTGATTCATTAAATAAACTTGTGAAGCAGATCCACTGATTCATCAAAAAGATTCTACTCGCGCTGTCAGTGCGAACAAACCTTAAGAGTTTGTAAATTGTTTTTAAAATATATCTTCATTAGTCATTCTCTGAGGCCTCTGAAAGACAGCATGTCAGGACCATACCAACATCCAAAGCACTTTAAATAAAAGTAGAAAAAAGTACTTGCTGATACCTTACTTACAGTCCCATATTAATATAATTTCAAAGATTTTCCCCACAGGTATAAATGAAAGAATTTAGGATAAGACAGATATGAATATGAGACTGTTTTACCTTCACACACTCAAGTCATTCTTGCTGTATATTCTTGATTGTAGAAGCAGCTCAGGAAAATAAATCCGTAATCAGTGTGGAGTGTGTTGGTATTGTGTTGTGAATGCAAATAGTGCATGCTGTGCTGGGCATGGATGTGGGGTTTGGTTTTACTAATAGCCAGTGCTTCTGCATGTGGCATTGCATATGGGGAGGGGACTGGACTGGTTTGTTTATTGAAGTCTTTGCATGCATTTGTTTATCCGAGTCTGCATGTGGTTCTAATTTAACATTTATTTATGGTACTGTTGGGTTATGGGTTTCTTATTTTTTAATAGATTGTATGTTATCAGATATTGGGATGGAATGCTGTTCATGTGTTCCCTTCATGCTATGATGAAGGTTTTTTTTTTTCAAAATGTACGCTACACTGTCTAAGAAGAAGCATCTAATTGTAGCTCTTTTTTACAGGTGGATCTGATACAGCAATATCGAATGTAAGTTGAGTTTCAATGTTTTCTTTTAATCCAACCACTGTTGCTTATATGCATATGATCTGATTAATTAATAATAAGTGAATTATAGGGTTTTGGATCTGTGACATGCCAAGATATTGTAAAGGATATCTGGGATATTTTATTTGACCAGTGGTTGGCTCCAATAATTCAAAGCGTTTTCTGTGTGTGTAGCTTCCCATGCCCTCTATCACTACATCCACTACACGCTGGTCCTGGGACCCAGAAGAAGAGCGCAGACGTCAGGAGAAGTGGCAGAAAGAGCAGGAGCGTTTGCTGCAGGTGAATAGTATATGAGCTCAACCGTTGTGCTTTATAGAGTTATGGCCTAAATATGGGTTATGTTGTTGGGTAAAAGAATATATAGCATTTAAATGAATAGTTGTGAGATAATTTTTTCCTAAGGTTGTAGAAACTAGTTCTGGAAGGAGATAAGTATTGTGCTGCTGATCATGCAAACTCAAACTGTTTTTTTCTTGTTCTCCTTGTGCAGGAGAAGTACAGAAAAGACCAAGAAAAACTTGATGAGGAGTGGAAAAAGGCACAGCAAGATCTTGTCAAAGAGGGCCCCAAAGATTATGAGGAGGTATGTTATGTATATGTCATGTTATGTCATGCATTTATTTACAGTAAACCATTGTTGTATGCAGGTCAGTATTTTATGGATGCCTCAGCAATAATTAGACCATGTTCACGGGAGAAAGTATATTCCAAAAGAAATATAACAGAATTTATAAAAAATAATTACATTTGCACATATTACACTTTTCAAAAGTTAACATAAATAATCTGGTGATTTTCCAGCAAAACAAAACCTATTATTTTATCTTGTGGGATTTATGTAAATGCCTGTAATTTCATATAGCTACATAAGGGCATGCAAACAATTTTTTTTCTTCAGATTTTGTAAGGGGTATGTCATTGTTACTGTCAAACAACTCTTTGATTGTTGTTGAACAGGAGATGGAGCTGAACAGACACAACCTCTACTCCCCTCTTCCCTCCATCAGACAACCTACTGTTTCATGGGAAGAGCAAGAGGCCTCCAGATTGGCCCAGCAAGAGGAAGAAAGGAAGAAAAGAGAGGAGGAGAGGCTACGTTTAGAGGAAGAGAGGAGAAAAAGAGAGGAAGAGAGGCTGCGGTTAGAGGAAGAGAGGAGAAAAAGAGAGGAAGAGAGGCTGCGGTTAGAGGAAGAGAGGAGAAAAAGAGAGGAACAACAGCGTCTTGAGGAAAAGAAGAGAGAAGAAGAGAGGAAGAGCAGAGAAGAGGAGAGGCAGCGTTTAGAGGAAGAGAGGAGGAAGACGAAAGAACAAGAGCGCCTTGAGGAACAGAGGAAGAAGAGAGAAGAAGAGCGCCTCCTTCAGGAAAAAGAGAGGAACAGAAGAGAGGAGGAATGGAGGCAACTGGAAGAGCAGAAGAGTTTTCAGGATCAAGAGTGAGTTTCTGCGTTTCAACAGTCATTAGCTGGTTTCACTTGTTTTAATTTTATGTCCCATCTTTCATTATCTGTGTCATGCTAATATGAATGTATCATTTTCTCAAGCATGCAGTTTAAACAGGTTTTGTTTGTTTTTTTACTTCCAGAACAATAACATCAAGGAATGGCATTGAATAACATGCTTGACAAATATATGTATTAGTCCTGCTTTAAATACCAAAGTAACCTGACTAAACTAACATTGTCTGTGTTAGGGCTGGGCGGTATGACACTATAAATTTGTAATACATTCTATGCATCGGTACTGTATGTATATATTAGTGAGCATGACTGCTTTGCATTATTTACACATTAAGAGCAATGAAGAAACATGGAATAATGCGAAAATACATAGTGAAATTAGTTAAGATGAGGAAGCCTATACACTGTAAAAAACCTACTGAAAAAGTTTCAGGATTCTTTGATGAATTAACATTAAGAACAGCATTTATGTAACTGAAATCTTTTGTAACAGGTTTTACTGTCAACGTACTGACCCCAAACTTTTAACACTATAGTATAATAAATCAGTAGTAATATAAAATCCTTTTTTTTTTTTTTATACATTTTTTAATAACTATATTGTGATACATGCTGTTGCCGCGATACAAGATACTCATGCCACGATTTAAGATTTTAGTCCTGCTACCCAGCCCTAGTATGTGTTTTACTCATGCATTAATAATCACACTAATTTATCTTCTATTAATGTTGTCCAATCATGACTGTGTGAACATCTGCTTGTCTGTGCTGATTCTGCTGTTTGGCCACAGTAAGGTGGACTCCTTTGGCTATACCAATGTTTACCCTGAATTATCCTACTCGCACAGGTAAATTGGACTCTGCTGTTTGCACTACCATTTTTATTTAACAAAGTTGTAAATGAATGCAATGCTTTCAGGCTATGCGTCCATACAGGAGTTATACATTGATAAGATCTTTCATCTGAATGTTTATCGGACCGAGTAATCGTATTCTCTCTTTCGGTTCGGTTTGCAGGTCCATTTCCAAATCTACTCCAGAACTTGATGAGGTTGCAAAACCAGATATTAAAGGTCAGTGCAGCTTTTATCTTTTCCTCTAACCCTTTATGCGTGTCTATTGTTGGTTTGACAAATAAGGGGCCGCTGAGACAGCATTCCTGAAGAGCGTGTTGTCAGTGTGCCACATGTTGTAAGGGCTGGAGTTAAATCACACAGACAGTACAGTGGTGTAGAGTCTGTGGCTCTCTTCAGGTGTGTACAGCAGACACAGGGGGATCGCAGGATGGCTGCTGGAGGAGGAACTGAGGCGAAAGAAAAACCCTCAGATCCAGAGAAAGGAGGCAGCGAGTGAGCTAGAGCTTGAGAGGAGGAGCATCCTCAATGCCATGAAATACAGAGACCCAGAGAGAGGTGGGGCGGCTCGGACCCATGCCAATCAATCAGCTCAACCAATCAGCTTGGCCTTATTTTCTGCAAATTTGACAGATGCAATGTCAGCAAAATCAGATGTAATCGAGTCTGTGTCCATGTGATCAGTGTGCATTTGATTAAAAACTGTAATATAAAAACAGTGGGGTCAAACAGCCTGAGAGAAATGTTTCTATTTTTAAATTGTTCTAATTTTATTAACTTTTTTCAAATGATCTAATATATATTACACTAGCATTTTAAAAGTTTGGGGTCAGTAAGGTTTTTTTTTTTTTTTTTTTTTTTTTTTTTAAGAATACATTTATTCTGCAAGAATGCATTGTTAAAATATTCTATTTCAAATAAATGCTTTTCTTTGAAACTTTCTATAATCATTAAAAAAATGGTCACAGTTTTCTCAAAAATATTAAGATGCACAGCATAACTTTTCACCTTTGATAATAAGAAATGTTTCTTGAGCTCCAAATCAGCATATTAGAATGATTTCTGAAGGATCATGTGACACTGAAGAATGGAGTAATGATGCTGAAAATTCAGCTTTGTCGATCACATTTTAAAACATTAAAATAGACAATAGTTATTTTTAAATTGTAATAATATTTAACAACATTGCATTTATTTGATCAAAACAGAAAAACAGTAGTCTTAGTGAGCTAAGAGACTTCTTTGAAACAACTTTTTTTTTTAAAATCTTGCCAACCCCAGACTTTTAAAAGGTTGTGTATATTATCAGTAAAAAAAAAAATACTAAGTTAAATTTTTTAAGGATGTCTTAATTTTGGTTATCCTCGTTTTGCTTTAATAACAGCAACACAAGAGCTGCATGAACTTTATGTAAAAAACCTGATGATCATTTTCTTCAGCATGATTTGAGATGATCCTGTCTGTGACTCTTTTTTTTTTATTGCCAGGCTTACATTTATATTTTGAATCCCAGATTTTCACTGTGGTCTTTCTGTGGACATTCAGACCCCACTATATATATATAATCATATGAAGATTATCTGAAATCAATTGCTCTTGATGTGAAATTACATGATATTTATCTAATTACAACTTGTCACTATGTTATTAATGGTAATTTTTGTCTGAGCAGCAAGCGGTGGTCTGGCTGAGGTCAGCAGGGACTATAAGAAAGAGCCTCTATCTCGGGCTGAATTGGAAAGGCAGCAGATCCTTCAGGAAATGAAGAAGAAGACTTCCTTGAACACAGACAACAGCTGGATTCGCCAGGAGACCTCTGCCAGTGTCACCGCCAAAGAACCGGTCGATCTTCCCATTAGGAGGTTAGTATATGCCAATTTTTCTTACTTTGTAAACAATGAGGAAAAAAACGACTGAGTGCTCCTGTAAAGATACAACTGATGTTACTTGTGAGCTTCAAACATTGACAAACTCACTTTTCTTGCAGGGGCGAGTCTCTTGACAACCTTGATTTGCCTCGTTCCTCCTGGAGATCATCATGGAGCACATCTAACAGCACCTCGTCCATACCAGACTACAGCCGTCCTCATTCTGCCCTCTCTGGCTCCTCGTCGTACCATAGTGGACGTCCAGGGTCTGCCAATCTAGAGGCTTCTCAGTCCATGAGCTCCCTTAAGCAATCCTGGTCTTCATCCGCAACCACACCAGAGCCAGAGCCTCGAGCTCCACAACGAAATAGGTATTCTTTGCTAAAAGAAATTGTTATTGGTTTCTAAATACTCTAAAACAGTGGTTCCCAACTAGTGGGCTTTTGACAGCAGAATAATAAAATGCAACTAATTGTGGATAGCAAAACAAAAGACTTATCAGGTTTTAAAAGGTGAATCAATCAAAAAACCATCCATTTTTGTTGTTGACATCAAAGGCCATGTGTCCTAATAAACTGCAAATTTTTTATTTAAATTAAGACAAGTAAAAAAAAATCCTAGTGCATTAATACAAAATACATATTTATTTTGTTTTAAGGATTGTTTTAAGGAAAATTCTGGCATTTTCTCCCCCTTGTGTCATTCCAAATCTGTATTTCCTTTCCTCTGTGGAAGACAAAAGAAAATAGTTGTTAATTAAACAGTTATGGTTCCCATTTACGTCCATTGTATGGACAAAAAATATAATGGAAGTCAATAGGAACCAAAACTTTTTAGTTATTAACATTATTCAAAATGTGTTCAGCAGAAGAATGAAATGCATACAGGGTTGGAATGGCATGAGGGTGAGTAAATGATGACTGAATTTTCATTTGAATTAAAAAAAATCCCCCTTTTTTTTTTTGCAGTTAATATATAATTGGCCCAGTGTTAATAGGCTAATAAATGAATATGATAAAGGTGCACTCAACTTGTTATGACCACACCTTAAGAATGTTTTGTTGACATTTTATATGATAAACAGTTTAGATACTATGTTGGGCTGCCACTTGATGTCTAATTTGGCTCATCAAGCAAAACCATTTGATAACCACGGACCTAAACAATTCCATCCATCCCCATGTGTCTCCCATATTTTTGTTGTCTTCAAAATGTGTTTGGACCCCACATAAGCCATGGGCTGTGTACAAGTCTGTTGCTTAGCCCTCAGATCATGTTTTGTGTAATCTAGGTCAGTGAGTGGCAGGAAAATCTGTTCGTTCTGTAGTACACCACTGGGCAAAGGAGCAGCCATGATCATCGAGTCCCTGGGGCTCTGTTTTCATTTGAATTGTTTCAAGGTGAGCTTTCAGCTACTCCGAGCTCAGGTCAAGCCTGGCTTCATCAGTGACTAACCTGACTAATCTGCCCTGCCTGCTTTTATGATTATTCTAATCAGTTGTTGTGTGCACATGCTGTATAAACTCAGCCATCAAAATGTCAACCCAGAGAATCAAAATGCCAATTCTAACTCTCTAGCTGATTTGTGGATAACGACACTGACAGCTCTGCCCTGTGACTTTCCTTTCTTTCCGAAAAGACTGTAATTTGTTTCTCTCAAATGTAAAGAAACCATCAAGAAGAAACCATGTGCATTTTTAAAAGGCTGGACTACACAAATCCATTTCTGCCATGATGGAATAAGTGTGATTTTGCTTCAATAATTGTTGTACTGTGAAGATTTTGATTGCATCTGTGTCAAAAAATCCCATGACAAAAACACACCTTATTCACTAACCACCTATAGTCTAACTTTACCAGTTACCCTTTATGTGCTGGATTAGCACTGCACCGTGGCATATTTAAATAAAAACTAGATTGCGTAAACACACCTCATTTATATGCAAATTAGAATAGAACAATAAATTGCACCTTATTCACTAAATTCTAAGTACTATTTGACTGGTGCAGTGAACATTGTGCTATTATAAAGTTGTATTTAAAAGGCATATTTGTGTATGTGTCCAATTTGCAAGGGTAATTCATCAAATGATGATAAAAAGTGTAATGATGGGACATATATCCAAAAATGTTGTGTAATCAAGCATACTTTCTGTGTGCTATTTAACTGTCACAGTGGCCCGGTTAAGAACTCCAGATTGCAGTAATCTGCTGCATCTTCCATAATTTAGCACTCAAAAAATGGCCTGCAAGATGGTAAATTGCACTGTGCATAGTGCATTTAGCTAGCCTGGGAAAACCCAGACAACTTCCGGCAAAATTAGATTTGCTCTGAAAGTTAGTCTGGCAAAGAGCTCATTCAAGCCCATTTCCAATCCGTTGAAATCGCGGCACCAGTCAGAAACGTTGGGGCGGGCTTTACACGATGACGACAGCGCTGGGATTTTGAAGCAGATTTTGTAGCCTACATTACTAAGATGGATGCCGCCGTCGAACATCACTCGTTCGAATCAGCTATCGCGTCTGTTTTACGCGATTTGAACGTTTCCTTTTTGTTAAAAATCGAGCAAAGAACAACACTCGGAGTCTGCATACGTCATCTCCTTCATCGCTCTGATTGGTTTTAGGTCTATCCACGACGTCCGTCGGTGACGCCCCTCTGGAAATGATTTGTCTATGACGCTTTGCCAGACCATAACTCAGTTACAACTGAGAATGGTCTGGTTTAACCAGGCTGGCATTTAGCACATTTCTGTAGAGAATCGGGTGCTAAAACAGCACAGACAAGTGCGTGTAAATAAACAACGCTATCAGTAGGCATTCTTATTTAATTCCCTTCTGAATTTATTCCTGTCTTTACCTTCAGAGCAGCCATATGTGGCTCATCTAGAGCTTTATCATTCCTCGCACATACTCGTCATTCTCCAGTGCCAGTCATATGTATTTCTGCTCATCCTTTTATTCACACTGCATTGTCCTCTTTCTAATCTTGTTGCCGGGTTATTTCTGGTCCTTTGGGCTGGTGTTACAACTTCAATTTCATATCCTCTTATGCTGCTGCCTTTGACCTCAAGCTAGGATTCTCTCTCTCACTCTTAGATGGAGGTGAGTGTATGATATGGCAGTACATTGAGGATTCTGACTGTCTAACAATGTGTTCTTTCATCTTGCGTTTACAGTGCTCTGACTGCAGGTCTGATTTGGGAGGCTCAGAAGCAGGAGCAGAAGTCAGAATACGAAACCAACAGCTCTATTGTAACTCCTGCTATGTGCGACTCAAAAGTAGGCCAGACATCTCTACAATATGTGCATTGTGCAATATAGTGATTTCTGATCTTCTTTATGACTATATTTGTTCTCTTTCTAGCTGGGCAGCCCACAGCCATGTGATCTTGCTGTACTGCAGCAGATTGAGGAAGAACCAATCACAGACAAGGAACTGTAAACACTAAAGAGTGTGTTGGAGATGTGATAACCATTGAGTGATTCAGCCAGCCTTGATAATTCAATGAACTTCTATTCTTCCTTTTTTACTTATGAGAGGGTGAGATTCCTAAGGTTATGTTTATTTGAAAGTATTAGTAATTGTTTGTACAAAAGGGACGTGCATGTACCTGAATATGAACTATGCATTTGAAAAGATAAATCATACACTGTCTTTTTCATCATCACTGATTGAAAGATTCTTATGATTTCTTGCTGGTTAACAAATATTTGTATGGTCCTAAAAGTGTTTATATTAATTAATAGAAATATGCTATTTTATTGTTATTCCTTGTCTAGGTTTCTCCTGCAGTATGTGTTATATAAGGGTTTGCTGACTAAAATATCCTGTTAATATTCCACTTCATCTGTGTGCCTTTTTGTTTTTTGACGGGGAAAGATAATTAAGGATAAATCCGTTTAGAATTTATTTAAAATGGCATGGTTAGTAAGGAGCACTCATTAGTTATATACTGGTAGCATCTATTTTATGCATCTGAGCAATTTCTCTGCTGGGGGAACAAGAATCTAGAACAAAAGCAGTGTACTCACTAATAATTGTAAATAAAATTTACCAAACTATGTCATTCCTGGGTGTGATTTAGTTGACTAATCTCTCATTAATAAGATTTCTACACCTAAGACTAGACTGAATTCATCATTGCTGTCTCCAAGTAACATTGACTCACCTTTCATAGAGTTCATACTGTAACCTCATCACAGTTGCAGGGGAATTTCATCCAAAACCTTTTGGTTCATGTATTTTTATTACATAGTACTACACTGCATTTCCCATGATACTATGTTTTCAATGAGTGTATTTTTGTTGCTGTTCCCTAATGATATTACAATTGCACACTGCCAACATCTGTTGGCAACTTACTGCTGGTCCTCTGAATCAGATGTATCAGGGCCTTGGGAGCATTACGATGAAAATGTTATATGCAGCCAATAGTTTTCTTACTTCTAATGGAGAGCATCAGCTGATTCTCATATCAGAGTAGTATTGCCAGATAACTAGCAAGTAAATACCTATCAATATAAACATTGTAAACATTTAAAAAGCTAAATTTCTCTCTGTCTCCCCATGTGTATTTCACTGTCTTTCCTACCCTGTATGGAACATATGGCACAGTTAGATCACCTGAAGCTAAAAAGTGAGTGTAATTTTTTTCTAGATTTACAAGGGAGTTTCCTTCCAAGAGTTTCCAGTACTTTCTGCATCATCCAGAAAATGTAAAACTCTAGTTGGCTACTTAGCCTTCTTAGCTACTTATTTATTATCTATACTTTCTCTCTATTTATTTCTATTTGCTTAATAAACCTGCATATTCTAACGTCACGAGATGGGATTAAGGCCCCGATATAGGCTACTCACGGCAAAGTTCTTTTTCGTTTAGGGATAAAGCGAAGTTCGAAATCCGTGCGCAGTGATATAGCTACTGTTAGCGATCATCCGACGCCGCCCACACTGCTGAAAAGCGACGGTTCGATGAATATGTCCTCTCGATAACACAATAAACACGCAACAAAATTGAGAAAACGGCAAGCTTTTTTTTTTTAATAAAGCATAAGAAAAGCAACGTGGATGTTTGCATGAGCTCTGTAATTCAGCACTCTAGTAAAGTCACATCATGTTTATTTATATAGCCCTTTATACAATAGATTGCTTAAAATCAAGCAGCTTTACCGTATTAAACATGAAAAACTGTCAGTCTCATTTCATCAAAATAACGCAGCTCTCCAGTGTTTTCATGTTTTCACTCACGGACGTCTGACCTCAATGGACTGAACAGGAGAAATGAACCATAAAAGATTTCCTAGTGAAAGAATGCAAAGCCTCCACGCGCACCTACCCATCACGTAATCGCCACGTAATCGCCCAATTGTAGTACAAATGTGTTAACCAGCTGTAGGGAACTTTTCCGGAAAGTTCACTTTGGTAAACTGTTTCGAACTTCCAAAACGGACTCCAAACGAAGTTTGTTTTGGCCTGATTTTGTTTGTAATGACGTCACATCAGTTCGTTCTTCGATTTCGCTTAAAGTAGGCTTATATCAAGAGCTCGTGTTTCTATAAGCAAATAACTGCTGCAGATTAATTTCAACATTGATAGTGTTGCTGTTGAAATGCATAAATTCGAGTCATGAATCGCTCCGAGTATAACATCACAGGTTTCCATGTGTTTCCATTTGGGTGCAGAATGCAATGAACATTTTATGGTCCTACCACAGACTATATATATATATATATATATATACACACACACACATTTAGACCACTTATCTTAGTGATTGCTATCAGGATGTGAAGAGACTTTCAACCAGCATTACAAAAAATGTTTCTGGAACAAATCGCCTACCCTGCCTTTAAGTATGCATGAAAGCAGAGACTGTTTCTGATTTCCCTCCCACATCGTGTTGTTTCTAATCGACGCGTAGTCAGCTCCAGGAGGCGCTGTTAGCCTAGATGAACAGTTTTAACTGACCTGTGGAACATGCATAAAGAGATCTTTGAAATTAATTTAAAGAGGTGATACAGATGTCCGATCTCATCGTCTGAGTGGGTGGAAGGATAGAGGGTTTTCTCCACCCCCAAGCTCGCCCACCTGCTATCTGGATTCTGGACTGATGCTAATTTTAGTCCGCATGATTGATGTCAGCCTTGTCTAGTTGCCATGGTTTTAGTTTCTCACTGAACATCACCTGCAAGGTGCTACACTTCTCTAATCTGACATGTTTGGTAACATTTACAAATAAAGGAAAAAATCATTCATACCTGTACCACTCTAAAGATATTTTTATCTAAAAATGCTAATTTTATTGTAAGGCTAATTCATTTATGTAAGAGATTTACTTTTTTTATTGGTTTTATTTTTATTAAGTTTTCCATGTCCTCTGTTTCATCAAAGACCTTAGTTTGATGGAGTTATTTATATACTATTATAGTATGTATTAATAATACTATTAAAAAAAATAGTAATCTTTAGTAATTTTTTGCTTTTTGTTCGGTTTTTTGTCTGCATGAATTGGAAGTTGTTATAGTCTTTTCTTCCCAAATGTATATCTAAGTGAAACAGCTTGTTGAACAAGAGAAAAATTGATTGGATGGTTGTGGTTGCTATAGCTGTGTGATGTCATGTGAATGACAGCTTTTTTCAAGTTTAATGTGTTTTTGGCTTAGTACTTTTACTACTTACCAATGTTTTTTTTTTTCTCATCAACCGTTTCTTGTGTCACGATGAGAAGAAGCTTCTTCCAGCAATTTGAAAAGGATTGTTGGAGGACCTTTTGATGAAGTGAAAGGAAATCAATTAGATCTGATGTGTCCTGGACTGTAGCTCTAGGCAATACTTTGGGTCGATTAAGGATAAAGAATGTTCTCATTTTGTTCTAGCGCTGTGGAGGCAAATGTACACTTGCTTTTTTTTATGCAGCTCACATTTAGTTTTTCAACACTGAGTTTCCTGAAAGCCTTCATTTAATGCAGAGGTCTGTTTGGATATTATAGTGGTCCTGTTTTAGTTCATTGTACAGGTAGTTGAGTTGTATCCCCCTTTTCTAGTGTTTTGTCATGGCTTGTTATTATCAGCCTTTCTGTGCAGGAGGCTTCTGTTGTTTCGTGGAGGTGGGTAATATGCTTATTGACTAAAGTGGCCATTAAACCAGCACTTAGTAACCTGGCAGTGACATGCAGCACAACCCTCAATCATAGTTTTTTTAGATCCCGCATCGTTTCTCCTCCGCACTTTAGAGCCAAACACACACATGAGAAGCGAGTGGCTACCTGACTGAAGTGGATGAGGGAAGGATTCTTGCAGGTGTGAGAATCAAAGGGATTTTTTTAAAGAGGGGCAAAGCACCCACTCTTCAGTCAAATGGAGATTTGGTGTGGGGGTAGAAAGTGATTCATTTTTTATGTCAGGACCTAAGCCGAGTGCTATCACTGCAGGCACTGATTTCTAATTTCCCTTGATGGCATACTTCAAAGATCCAATCTGTCTTCTATCATACTGTACTGCTCAGTCTAACGCTTGGCCTCCAATGAAATGTCCTGACCCTTCATTGTCAGTGACTGGAAAATGTGTCACTGCTCATGAATGCTAAGACGGCCACAGCTGGAGAAAGCAGATATGCTTGAAGTTATTATTAAGAGAATGTTTTTTTTTAGCCCGCAGTGATTTTAGCTGCCATTGTGCTGAGCTGGGCATGGAGGTGAATATATAAGTCACAAGTTATTCTTCTGTTTTCACACTAAATGATTTTGATGATCTCAGGAGATCAAGTATGGTGTGAAGTTTAGGGTGTATTGGCAAATTACAGCTGCCTGCGGGCAGATTTTGGTATAGACAGAATCACACTTTTAAAATCTTAAAAGGGCACAAGTGCACTTGATTAATCCAATTATGTTTTTAGTCTTATGCCCCGTTTACACGAAGGGAAGACGCAGATTTTTCCCTGCGGTTTGGCCTCTCATTTACACGAAAACCCAGTTTTTATCACAGAAAACGATTATTTCTAAAAAACTCCGGCCAAAGTGGAGATTTCTGATAACGCTGGTTATGTGTTGTCGTGTCAACTGGGAGAAATGGGGTCTTAGGTTCTCAAACGTCATATGCGCCAGAAAATGCTTAACGTCATGCGAGCGCCCAGTTTGGCATAGTTATAATGGCACTAACAAGGGGGCAGGGCTAATTAGAAACTAATAAACAAGAAAAACTACAAAGGACTACAAAACATGGCACAGACAAGGAGAACACAAGACAGGAATCGTGACAATATAACACTGAAATGATGGAATGTCCCTCTTTTAAAATATAGTGATACTTGGAAAGCCTTTAGAATTGGTTTTTTGAATTTGTTAAAAATGACTGGCCAAAAAGCATTCCAGGAGTGTTGTTACAAAGCACAAAGTCCACACCAAAGGTCTCACGCTGTGGCTGGATAAATGAGCTCACAACGAAGGAGAATAGCCTACAGAATCAACAGTCTTTCATAAATCCACGTAGGAGAAACACAAGGAGAACAACCAAACACATCCACTAAACAACGAAGAGACTAGACAAAGAACTGAACCAAACAGGGAGTAAATATGCCAGAACAAAGAAAGACAGACTTGAACACAAGGTCACAAGAACAGAAACAAACACAAAGCATAATCCTGACAAAAGTTAATCTGAAAACACTTGCCTGAAACGTCTCATTTGCAGTCCTGCTAGTGCTACAGTGATGTATTTTTGATAACCCTGTTAGCTTCACCCTGGTTTTTCTGTTCTGTCTGATGATGTTTAATGTTCCCGACAACCTCTGTAGTCCTATTTAGCCACTTGTTAGCAACCTTTTCAAGACAAACGCTTTAAAAAAATCAAAAGATGTATTACTGATGTATTTATGTTGTAGAATAAAACGTATGTTGCATTTAACCACATAACCGTTAAAGGGGTCATATAATGGTACATGCACTTTTACAAGTTGATTGTACTGAAATTTGTGTTGGCAGTGCCTGTACACAACCATCATAAAATGATAAAAATCCATCCAGTGTTTTTGCCACGAGTGTTGATTGACAGCATCGTTTCAACACAGAC